GGTTTTTAAATTTTTTAATTAAAAAATGAGATATGGGCACAAGCTAGCAATACCAGCTAACCAGAGAGCTAGGACAGGAGTATCACAAGACCAAGGCCAAGCTGAGCACACAGTGTGTTTAAGGTCAGCCTAGGAAACTTCATTAGACTCTGTCTCAAAACAAAAAGTCAAAAGAGGCAGCTGATATAGTCAATAGAGAACACTCCCTAGCACATGAAATGTCCTGGGTTGAGTCCTCACCGTGACACAGGAAAAACTAGACCAATTTAGCTGCAGTAATCCTTCCAGCTGTGCCTCACCCAGTGCAGTCTAAGTTAACATCAATGAATCCATCTGTGTCCAAGAATTTAATTCCTGTTAAAATAACAAAATATCTCAGGAACAGTGTCAATAATCAAAACATGTAGGGATTTCTACCAGATGTAAGGCAGACTGAGGCAACTGAGGAGATCATTGGCAAAGCCACCACCCAAGACAGGTAAAAGAAAAGACAGCAGAGCACATCATAGCACCCCTAAATCAGCCCCTACACCCTAAGCAATGAGGCAGGAGGCCCCACTTGAGGGAACAGAAAAAAAAATGTCAACTCTATTGTTTTAGGGAACTCTGACAGGCTAGACAGCTAAATCTTATAGGATTGGAAGGTGAAGGATTATCTCAGTCATTTCCACTTTCTCACCTCATGCAAAGCACAGAGTATTGAGTAAAAAGCAATCTTTTACTTAAATGTAACAAAACTACTAGTTTAATAAAAACTAGAACTAAAACATAATATCAGTTTTCTTCTGCTTCTCTTATACCTTTGTCCAGAAAATTGTAACAAACAATCTACATAGTCCACAAATCAACAGGATCTATAACATTGGGATCTACCACCACTCCAAATCTTAATTATGTTTATTGTAAATACCCTAAATAAGTTCTTGAAGGCATCAGAACTCTTGAGGAGTTTAATATCAGATGCCAGCAGAACTTAACACTTCAAAAAGCCAGTGCCATTTGAAGGTCAATTGCTAGAAATGGGAAGTTAGAAAGGAGTAAACAGGCAAAAAATATCTCAAAGTAGAGGTACATGAAAATTTAAGGAAATGGACACTATGCAAAAGTCAAGATAGGGAACTAAAGAGATACATACTACAACAATAAGTAGAACTGAAATGATTGGTAGGAACCAAGGCAAGGACAGAAATCCCAGTATTAGAGGAGAGTGTTCCTTAATCAAGTGTGCTGTGTGAGAGCCAGATGGGTGTCTCAAGATGGAGAAGGAAGCAAGGATAACTGGGGGCTCACCGTCAAAGGAAGAGCCCCAACTGAATTTGAAAGACCTCTTCAACAGAACCATTCAATTATGGAAAAATAGTCTTCCTAACTGATCTGAACATTAGGATGAGGAAGGAGAAAGTAACTAATTTTTTTAGGGAAAACCCTACTTTACGTAAGTATAGGAAAGTACTTTCTGAGTAGAACTTCATTTGCTCAGGAATTAAGGTCAACCACTAACTCTAATAAAAGGTTAATATCCAGATTGTACAACGTAACTAGCTTCTAAGAACCAAAGGGCCATAGAATTAGATGTCAGTCTTCAGATGTCAAGGGCATTTTTTTAGAGAGATCATTAAAATATGTTCCCTTTAACGATCTACAGAGGCTGCCTTTTGTTCTCTTAAAAAACCTGGGAAATGGCTAAAATGATAACCAACTTTCCAATTTGTCTATCCAACTCCTCCGTCTTAGAATACAGCCCCAGACATTGTCTCCTCCACAATGACAAGTCATGTTTCCAAGTTCACTATACCTCTGCCTGAGGAAGACCTGGAGCTACCCCAAGTAGCTGGGGCTGCAGTTGAGACTTACAACCTCAACTTGGACTTAAATTTGGGATTTCCAACACACCTACTCTTTACTCCCAGGGGCATTTGTCTGTGTAAACTTATCTCAAACTGAGTCAAAATCCTCTCAAGAAAGCCTGGACCACAAGTTGAGCACCCAGGGGCAGAAACCTTGAGAAGAGACTGCAGTAAAGAACTGGGTCTTTTCCTTCATCAGATAGAGGTTAAACAATAGCTGGCCCAGCGTGACTCAGAAGATGCATCTGCACGTGTGAACAAAGCCCCGGCCTTTAGACTGTGTGATCATCACACTTATGGTCATGAACAAACAGAGCTGCTGTGACTCGTACCTCAGATTTCTTTCTGGCAAGGATTTCTGCAGAGTCTACTCCTTACAGGTAAGGTAAGAATCTGAGTAAAGCAAGAGCAGCAACTCAATGAATCAACAGGAGGATGAGTGGATACACATGATCACCCACAGCAACCTTGCCCCTAGATAGGCAGGAGTAGCATGGATAGAAGGAGAGAGCACTCTAAGGAGGAGATCATAGCACACGGAGACAACCAGACACATCCTCACAATGGCCACATCAATTGGTGAGGTTCTCATAACTTCGGGTTCCATAGGGGAAGCACAAATGAAAGAGCAATTGATTTTTTATGCCTATCTCTTGTGTAGAATGTCATGTGAGCTAGATGTCCCAGGTGACCGAGAAGGAAATGCATGCTAAGAAGATGAATGGCTCAGAGGCAAGACATTTGCTTCAGCTACCTAGGGTAATGAAGGCCTTCATGTTCATTGATGGCATCTTTTTAAATGAATCTTCTGTGGATATCGTTCTTCAAGCTCTTTACACAGATAGACCTATTACCTCCCACTGAAGGACTAACAGAGAAAGCTGATTGGCTAAAAGTAGATATGGATGTGGCTCGAGGGAAAATTATTCCTTCACCTGTGTCTTTCTTATGCACAAAGGGTAGTAATAATGATAGTAGAGTTCTTTTGGCTAGAGGGTCTTCAGTTTAAAAACCCGTTAGCTAGGCAGAGACTTCTACTGTAGTGAAAATGGTGGAGTTAAAGGAACAGTCTTAGGGACATGCTGGAAGAGTAAAGGGTCAGGCAGGCTAGGAACATGGCTTCCTCAGCTCTCTACAGAGCACTGATTTGTGTGTGTGTGTGTGTGTGTGTGTGTGTGTGTGTGTGTGTGTGTGTGTGTGTGTGTGTATGTGTTTACATACACGCACCACATATATATATGCATATATACATACACACACACATATATATACATATATATATATATATATATATAGAGAGAGAGAGAGAGAGAGAGCAATCTCATGTGTAAGTAGTCATTTCCACCAAAACCCAGCTACATTGGTTCTCCCTTGACCATGATTTAATGAAGATATTGACAAGATAAAGGACTCATGCTTTCAGCGATGGACTGGCTGGCTTCTGTCCAAGAGAAGGAGAAGGAGG